TCTTAGAGAGCACGTTGATTGGCAGCTTGCAACAGTAGATGAGAGAAGCAAGGCATAACATAGCTCCTTCCCAGGTCACTGCAATGAGCATCAACTAATGTACAGCCGTCACTGCATAAAATAAATCACTAAAATTCTACAGTTCTAACATTAAGATTACAACACAGATCACCTTTACTGTCAGCACCCAATGACATGGAATACATAAGCATACCCTAGATCCAACTTTTTAATGAGCTTCATGACAACATTCTTGGCATTTGAGTGAAGGAAAAATAGTTCAACCTGCCCCGGAAAATCGAAAAGAAGATAGTGTTCTGCATATTATAGAAAACATTAGAAATTTAACAGCAACAAGTACAATAGCCTACTAATCCCTGCATTATATCAGGGTACAGTGAAGAAATATAGAGATATATGAACCAATAACCTCACTAATATACCTACACTAGAGTGCATTAGATATCAAATAGTTTCTCGCATTGATTATATCGTTACAAACATATAAAAAGCGCATTGTAGCCCAAAGTAAATTCAAATCATTAAGCATTAATATGTATTACTGGTTACTGCCTTGTACATGTTCCCATTGTTAGTTTCCTAGAGCGAGTAAAAACAACAAACACATAAATGCCTAAATTCGACTGTTCAATCGTGCTTGAGGCCCCACATGAATGACAAGACCGAATCTTTCTGCATGAATCAATCCCCACATGTCATCCTCTTTTGAGAAACTCATATGGTCTTTCATAGCTAGATGCAAGCTATGATAAGAACTTAAAGTTCTGAGAATAAAAGGCAGAAGATACCAACCTTTCAAAAGAGGTTCCAGTTTAGACTGCAACCAATCAATATTTTTCTCTAAATAATCCATACAGTAGACAAGACCTGATTGCATATGAAAAACATACTCTATCAGATAATCAAACCATAACAAGTACAAACACAATTTATTTGCACTGTATCCTGCAGCAAACCAGCAAATACTGCAAAAGTGTATAGGCACTAATATCTTTAGGAAAGATTAACAAAACAGGAATCTAAGGTTCTGATTCACCAAATTTTTTACTGCTCAACATAGAATCCATTAAAAGGAAAAATAAGTAAAACATCAACCCTTATACGGATGTCACTGCCTTGATTTACTAATTTTATGATTTAGCTGACTGGAATTTCTAAATCCCGTTACATAGCAGTAGCCTAAAGAAAGGAGTAACCAAGTGAAAACAAAGTACCTCCATTAGGCCCCAAAGAGTGTTCTGTCATCACATCACCTAGTTTTATGAGATCCTCAATATTTACAGCACACTCATAACTACACCCATGTCAAGGAAAGTTCATATGGATAAAACTTTCAGGAAAGGAAAACAACATTACAAATAAGTTTCCAATAAAGGATACGGTAATGATCATTGGCTGGATCCAAATTGATTACAGCAACTTTTCTGCAAAACAATGGCATAGGAACATTAACTTCTGCCATATTTAACAAATATATCAAACATGTGAGCATAAACAAATTCAGAAACTAGAAACGATGAAACAGAAACAACCTTCCAATAAGTTTAAGGAACTGGGACATGCCATTGCAGTAAGTAGTCTTTCCTGATCCAGGTGGACCAATCACAACTTGCCCAAACACCATCCTAGTTGTCTCTATAGATATTTATATTGGAATTGATTTTTTTTCCAACTCAAGGGTTCCTACAAGAAGAGGTAAATGATTTCAACAACCGATAGTGTTAGGAACCAAAATATGTACCAGAATTATCGGTCTTAATACGAATTTACACTTAAAAAACTTGTAGCAAATTTCATCTAAATTGCTTTAATCTTTTAATTCGCTGCTGATATTCCAATGGGAAAACCCTTCCGGTGTATTATACTACATGGAAAGCTATAAAAACAGCACAAAATGTTAGATTTAAAGTCTAAAGCGATAATTTATTGTAAATTCCTTAAAAAACCCAAAATTGTATGCTCAAATCAAACATGTACGAGAAATCAAAGTGATTTTACCTGTAGTGATCGCTGAAGCCGTTTCGCTTTGGTTTAGACTAGAGAAAGAATGTCTCCGAGTTGGAAGTTGCGAGACGTTACAGTTGAGCCTTTAGGGTTTTGGATTTAAGCGTCCAGAACCAGGAGGGAAAGGAAAGGCCCAATCAGATCAAAAAAATTACTATTTTATATGTAGAAGAGTTTGGGGCGTCCCGAAAGCGAGAATCATATCACCGCCCGGATATCTAAAAATCGTTTACTTTATTTTATTAATTAATAAAGGCTTAATAAACCTATTTTTTATCAATATAAATTTGAGTTCAATATATAAATAGTATTTTGATTATAAGAGATTTTTTGTTGAGTTATTTAATTATTAAAAGTTATAAAATAATCTTTTAATTATAAGAAGTTATTTTATTGAGTCTCTCGACTATTAAAAGTTACAAAATGATCATTCAATTATAGAGAATTACTTTATTGAGTTTATCGATTATTAAAAGTTACAAAATGATCCTACAACTATAGGACGTTGCTTTATTAAGTCTCTCAACTATTAAAAGTTACAAAATGATCCTCTGACTATAGGGTATTGTTTTGTTAAGTCATTTGACTATTAAAAGTTGCAAAATGATCCTTTGACTATAGGGCGTTGCTTTGTTAAGTTCTCTGACTATTAAAAGTTGTAAAATAATCTTTCAACTATAGGGTGTTGCTTTATTAAGTCCATCGATTATTAAAAGTTACAAATATTCACTTGACTATTTGTATGTTCCAAACTCGTCCTTTCCCGTTAAAAATTAACGGTAGTCGAGCTAGACATTAACATGTTGATTGAATATGCTAAAATATAATCCTAGAATCTCAAACAATTATCATATCTAGGTTATCATTTTAACATTCAGTTCAAACGACCATCAACTTTTTACCAAAAAAGATTAGTTTGGAACACATGAATAGCTATATGACCATTTTGTAACTTTTAATAGTCGTGAGACTCAACAAAGCAAATCATATAGTCAGGTGACCATTTTATAATTTTTAATAGTCGATAGACTCAACAAAATAACATCCTATAGTTGGGGACTATTTGTGTACTCTATCCTATAAATTTTTAACGTTACAAATATTATCATTTTAAATGTCTGATTCACTATGGTTGTTAAAAAAAAATTCCGACAACCCTCAAAATGTGATACGTGACGTGATTATAATTTTCAAGAAATTTTATTTAAAATTATTATTATTTAAAAAAACCTCCAAAGTTCTCTAAAATCTAAAAAAAAACAAATCCTAAAATCTCTAATCTCAAAGTACCAACTCCATCGCCAGCCACCAGTTGCCATCGTCACTGCCGATGACTGTCTATTCATCAATTGTTAGACCCTCAAAGCCAATCAAGTTACAGTGGGAAGTCTGATACTTTTTCATGCGCTGAATTATTACCCAAATCCATTGTTGCATGATTGGTGCGCAAATCATAGAATCCATTTGTGATAGAAATTTTGCTCAAATCACAAAATCGTTTTTGTGATTGAAATTCTTGCATTTGTTCGTTCGTTACCTGGTTACAATGGTGGCCGCCGACGGCTGATGGATGATCGTCGACAGTGAGGGTTCGAGTTTCTAAATAATATTTTAGAGTTTTATAAATTTTAGGATATTTTGTGGGAAATAGAAAAATGATTTTTTTTTTAAATTTATGAACTTTATTTTTTTTTAAAAATTAAAAGAAATTAAAAATTATACCACATGTCAAATATTGATTGGTTGATTATTTTTAATAAATTTTTTAACAGTTATCACGAATCAGACACTTTAAAAAGTTTAGACACCTAAACGAGAAAAGATACATAGTTTGAACATTTTTTATATTAACTTATTAATAATATGTTTAATAGTATCTAAGACCTTCAAACTTTTTCCAAAAAAATCCTAATGTGGCCCTAGAACTATTTTGTATTTAATGTGGTCTTTTGACTAACGATTTCCGTTGTCGATCGTTACGATATCGATGTGACAGTTCACGGTGATGTTGTGATGGTCACAGCGGCTAGTAACGTGACATATGGACTAAATTGATTTTTTTATCAAGTTTGAGTGCCAAATTATTTTTGTAAAGTTCAAGGACTTATTTAATATATTTAAAATAAAAAATTATTTTAAATTTCAAATATAATATAAAAATACTCAAATATTCAAATAAAATTAAATATTAAAAAAATTAATATATTTTTTAAATAATATATACTAAAATACTAAAACACTTAAAAAATTTTAAAAAAAATAAAATATAGGTAAACTATACACTTAATGCTTAAACTATCAATTTTGTTTTGTTTTAATGCTTAAACTTTTATTTGTTTCAAAAACATACCTAACATTTTTTCTTCATTTAAGTACCCGTCATTAAAAACTTAATGACACTGTGCACGTTTTATGGGTAAATTACATAATTTGTCACTTAACTATCTTCTCACTCCTATTTTGGTAACTAAAGTTTAAAAATTTTAACTACTCAACTTTCAAATTACTCATGTTTTAATCACTCTAATTTATTTTATTAATAATTTTCGTGACATGTCATTTTTTGTTATTATTTTTTGATATATAATTAAAATAAAAAATTAAATTTGAAAGTTAGTGATTAAATTAGGAGTAATATAAAAGTTAAGTAATTAAATTAAAAAAATAAAATTCAATGACCAAAGTTAAGTAATTTGATGTAACTTACCCATAAAAAGGTGTCATGTTGTAACAGTTCTACTAAATTTTTAACGGGGAGGTACCGTAACAGAAAAAAGTAAACGTTAGGTATGATTTTAAAACATATGAAAGTTTAGGTATTAAAACGAAATAAAATTAATAGTTTAGGTATTAAATGTGTAGTTTACCCTAAAATATATCACAAACTATCGATAATAAATTATTAAATATTAAAAAAATTTAAAAAATATATATTATACATACTATATGTTGAAACATATAGACACAAAAACAAATCAATCGTATTTATATAGTAAAATTAATAAAGCTAATATAATATTAATTTCATACACTTACCAACCATCCAGTATTCTGATTAGATTGGTCTAAACTTACGAATTTTGCGCCTAATATAGTTAGAAAATTGTAAGTAGTGTTTAAGTAAAACTCTCAATCCTAATTTATCTTTAAAACTATATTCTAATTTATAGAAAAGATGATTCCTATATTATATAGGTCTCTAGTTCATGCATTTCAAAATTCCATGTATTCTTTTTGTGTAATATGCAATTGTTCTTTGAATAAAAATAATTTTAGAATAAAAAACCATGTTTACTAGAACAGAAAAACTTTGTTTACTAGAGTCGGAAAACTATGTTTCTACATGGTATCAGTCATCGCGTCGATCCCAGCTTGCCGCCGCCGCCGTTCGTCATCCTTCCGACAAGCAGTGTGCCTTTTGTGAACTGTTGTTCTTCCAATTGTGAAATCCTTTCCAGTTATGTCCTCTTTGCAGCACTACCCCTTCACAACGATGTATTCCTTGCTGTGCAACCACAATAGTGTCGCTTCTATCGTAGCACTACTCTCCTCGCCATACTACTCTTGTCGCGACACCGGTCTAACATTGTCCTCATCACAACGGTAACCCTTCTTGTTCCACTGTTTGGTACCTATTATGCCGCTATTGATAAATGTCCGACCAACACTGTCTCCTCGCCACACAACCCATTCAATACTCATTCTAGCGTCGATCTCCTCAAATCTCCGATTATCACTTATAGTAGTGTTCCCTGCTAGTTCGAGACATATCCCAAGCTCTCAATTCCTCGACAGTCATGGCATATCCTTCTTCGTCCAAGTCTGCCTGCACTGTTAGTGAATGTACTTCTCATTTTACCTTCTTATCCCCTTCATCAGGGTGTGTCTCTTGGATTGTCGATTCCGGAGCAAGTGATCATATGACAGACAACTTTAATTTATTTTCCATATTTTACAAAAATGATATCTCATGCAATGCTCGTACTGCTGATGGCACCCTATCACCAGTTAAGGGCAGTGGCTCAATTCACATTAATAGCCATATTACCCTGTCTAATGTTCTATTTGTTCCAAGTTTGACTTGCAATCTTCTTTCGATTAACAAATTATCTACCAATTTGGGTTGTACTTCTCATTTTACTCGTGATTATTGTGAATTTCAGGATTTGACCTCGGGGATGGTGATTGAGAATGCTAAGCGTCGTGGTTGACTCTACATCCTTGACGCTCCTCCTTATACTCTCGTTCCCAACCACTCACATGCACCATTTATCTCTTCTTTTGTTTTAATTTCTCCCACAAATGCAGCTGTCGACATTATGTTATGGCATTTTAGGTTAGGCCACCCACATTTTTCTAATCTTGCAAAATTTTTTCCCAAATTATTTATCAATAAAAATCACGCATCATTTTCTTGTGACATTTGCTCACTTACAAAACACATTCAGAGTTCTTATCCCCCTTCTCCCTCTCACTCGCCTAAACCTTTTTCCTTAATTCATAGCGATATTTGGGGACCTTCACGGGTTACGGGTTTACATGGAATTCATTGGTTTATTACTTTTATTGACGACCACTCTCGTACCATTTTGACCTTTTTTATGACGGACAAACCTGAGTCTTGTACCATCTTTAAACGATTCCACAAAAATGGTTGAAACACAATTCCAAAGTTCCATTGGCATCCTTAAATCTGATAATGGTGGGGAATACCTCTCTTAGTCGTTGGGATCTTTCTTCCAGGAAAACAGAATAGTCCACCTCAGTTCATATATTGACACTTCATAGTAAAATAGGGCCGTCGAACGTAAAAACTGCCATCTTCTTGAGGTAACCCGAGCACTACTTTTTTCTTCTAATGTTCCAAAATACCTTTGGGATGAGGTTCTCTTAAGAACTACTTTTCTAATCAATCATTTACCTAGTGAGATTCTTGCCTTTAAGTGTCCAAGGGATATCATTTCCGCTAAATTCCCTCCCTTCAAACCTTTTACCTCTTCTGTTCCTCCTTGTGTCTTTGGTTGTACTGCCTTTGTCCATTACCACAATCTTCATAAATCTAAACTTGATCATAGGGCAATTCGGTGTGTCTTTTTTGGTTATTCACCAGAAAGGTTATTGTTACTATTTTCATTCTACAAAAAGGTTCTTCACATCTATGGATGTCACTTTTCAAAAGTATAAATCGTTCTTATCAAAAAATGAAATCAAAGGGGAGAGTGAGTCTGAATTTCAATTTTTACCGATTATTACTAAGTTACCCATCAGTCCATCTTATACTGGAAAAACTACCACTCCACAACTTCCTAACGCCACCACATCTGATAATGAAAGCCAATCCATTAATCCCATCGACTATCATAAAACACCTACACCATCTACCGATATTCTCATCAACAAAAGACGACCCAAACAAGCCCTACCTTCTACACCGCAACCAATGCATTGTCAAGAGCCAGAACCGGGTTTAAATCCATCGACAGACAAAAGAGATAGCGACCAAAGTAAGTTGGATGTGGTAATTGATACTAGTGAGTTACCAATTGCTTAAAGAAAGGGAGTTAGATGATGTACAACTCATCATATTAGTAAATTTGTTGCTTTTGGGAAACTAATGTCTGGTTTTAAGACTTTCATAGCTCAAGTTGATCATATTTACATTAGAGAGACCATAGAGAAGGTATTAAAAAGTCATGAGTGAAAGAAGGCAGTTGAAGAAGAAATTTAAGCTCTAGAAAACAAAAACCCCTGGGTCATTGTTGATCTACCTAAAGACAAGAAACCAATCGACTGCAAATGGGTCTTTACTTTAAAATTCAAGGAAGCTGGAAAAATTGAGAGATATAAGGTCAGACTTATGACAAAAGGGTTCACTCATACTTATGGAGTTGACTATCAGGAGACCTTTGCTCCAGTTGCAAAACTCAACACTGTTCGAGTTCTATTATCCTTGGCAGTGAACAGGGATTTGATACTTTACCAACTAGACATAAAAAATGCATTTCTTAATGGCAATCTTGAAGAAGAAGTCTATATGTAAGTTCCACCAGGAATTCATTCTAGAAATAACGGGTGTGTAAATTACTGAAATCCTTATATGGTCTAAAACAATCACCTCGAGCTTGGCTTGATACATTCACGAAGGTAATGTTACAAGACAACTACAAACAATGTCAATCTGATCATATTCTGTTTGTAAAAATTGCTCCTGATAAGAATAAGTCAATATTGATTGTCTCCGTTGATGATATCATTATCACGGGTGATGACTTGGTAGAAATCAAGAAGTTGAAGACATTACTAGCAAAAGAGTTTGAAACCAAAGATTTAGGAACTTTGAGATATTTTCTAGGCATGGAAGTAGCGAGATCACGAGAAGGAATTGTCATAAATCAAAGAAAATATATTCTATACTTACATTCTGAAACTGGAATGACTAATTGTAAGCCTTCAGAAACTCCTATAGAAGTTAACTTGAAATTGAGTAAATACGGAAACCTGGTAAACAAGGAACATTATCAGAGGCTAGTTCGTAAACTCATTTATTTATCTCTAACTAGACCTGGCATTGCTTTTTCTGTTAGCATTGTTAGTCAATACATGAATGATCCAAGAGAAGAACATCTAGCGACAGTTAATCGAATATTAAGATATCTAAAGATGACACCAGGAAATAGGTTGGTTTTCAGAAAACATGAAGACATAACAGTTAAAATCTTCTCAGATTCAAGTTGGGCTGGAGAATTAACAGATAGAAGGTCGACCACAGGATACTGCTCATTTGTGTGGGGAAACCTAGTGACATGGAGAAGCAAGAAATAATCAATTGTCTCTAGAAGCAGTGCAAAAGCAGAATATAGGGCGATAATACTCGAAATGTGTGAAGGAATTTGGTTACAAAGACTCTTAACTGAACTAGAGATGTGCGACAACAACAATTTTGAACTTCAGAGTGACATCAAATCTGCGATAAACATTGCAAAGAATCCGGTGCACCACGACATAACAAAACATGTAGAGATCGATATACACTTTAGTGCAAAAAAAGTAAATGGCGGAACTATGAACCTAAACTACGTCTCTTTACAAAACCAGCTAGCATATGTATTGACCAAGGCACTTTCAAGGATTACCTTTGTCGAAATTACATCCAAGCAGGGTCTTCACAATATTTACTCCCCATCTTGAGGGGGAGTGTAAGTAGTGTTTAAGTTAAACTCTAAATCCTAACTTATCTTTAAAACTATCTCCTAATTTGTAGAAAAGATTACTCCTATCTTATCTAGGTCTCTAATTCATGTAAATAAAAATCACATGTATCCTCTTGTGTAATATGCAATTGTTCTTTGTATAAAAATAATTTTAGAATAAAAAACTGTATTTATCAGAACCGAAAAACTCTATTTACCAGAGCCAGAAAGCTCAATTTACCAGAGCCGGAAAACTCTGTTTCTACAAAAATATCGTAAGTTATTTCCATCAATACACGCTATCTCAATAATTTTTAGACATCACTTTACATACTAGTTTATTATACGATATGTAAGGGTTTACGAATATTCCTTAGAACTGTTCGAAACATGATTAGATGTATGTATTGATGCAAAATTTTACTATGTTTCCTAATTACATATAGATACAAAATTCATAAGTTTAAAACTAATCTAGTAAAAGTACTTTGTATAAGTGTTTATGATATGATTTTATGTTATATGTATATATTATGTATAGTATATGTTTTTAAATAAATATTTTTTTTAATTTTTTATAATTTATAATTTTATAATTTGTGATATATTTTTAATAGTGTTTTTAATATTTTTAATATAATTTTTAATTTGGGGATTACCTTGTGTGCAAAAATAGTTTAAGGGTCATATTTATTTTCCCCCAAAAAGTTTGAGGGCCTTATATACTATTAAGTCTTAATAAAATATTTGTAGGAGTGTAAATGAATTGGGATTGAATAAATAGATTATATTTGTGTTCGTTTAAAATTTTAATATTATATTTATTTATTTATTTATAAAGATATTCGTATTTGATTCATTTAGTGTTCATAAATATATCCGTTTAACGCTCACGATCATATTTTTTTATATATGCGTCAACCTTAATTTTAAAATTTGATTCAATAGAGTTTAACTGAATTTTCGGGGGGTCATGAATTTCCCAAAATCTAGCCACCTAGGTAGTGGCAAGGGTGTGATTGAACAAATTTGAAGGGGCATAAGTTTGAGTCCCCTACACAACCAACCCTCTTTTTATATTTTTATTTTTCGATCAAAGAAAATAATTAAATTATGTTATTAGTTCTTAAATTCTTTAGGCTTTACAATTTAAAACCTAAAGTTTTTTTTTTGTATTCAATTTAGTCTCTAACTTCATCAATATTTAAAATATAAAAAATAAAAGAAAAAGGAGATCTGTATAAAGGAGCTTGTAAACGAGTTTATTAGTAAACATAAATGAATCAAACACACCAATTTTCATGTTTGTTTGTTTATTAAATAAATATAAAAATTTTGTTTATACTAATTTATTTACCTAAATAAACAAACATAAATGAACAGTTCACGAACAATTTACCAAACATTGTGTTAATTTACATTCTAAGAAGCATGAGCAATTTTGTCGAGATAATGTGTTGGAAAAGAAAAATTCCTAAAATAATGCATTTCGAAAAATATTTCCTAGAATAGGATAATAGCTACAGTGTAATAGGGAAGACTCATGGAGCACTACAAGTCTTCAGTTTCACCAGAGAAGACTTCAGGACTACAATGAATCTTAAGTTTCACGGGACTTCAAACGTGTCAACGTATGAGAGTTAAAGAAAAATTACAGTCATGGAATCTTTCTCAATAAAGCTGAAAACTCGTAGTCTCCATAAGTATTCCCCATTACACTGTATCAATCATCCTAATCCAAAATATAGTAATTGGGTACATTTATTTGGGAATTTGTTTTTTCCAACATAATATCTCAGCCATTTTTCCATGAATGATACTAGTGTGCTTTTTTGGGTTATAAAATTTATTCTTATCGATGCATGTTACACTCTCATGACATTTGCAGGAACAATGTTAGGAATGAGGCCCAAAATGTTGAAGCAAGCCAGCAAGTAAGTGGCCTATGGGTTCATGGTTAAAGCTCAGGTTTGGAACTGGATTAATAAAACAAAGGTAGTCCAAGCAGTTATTTAGGCACATGGTTCAGAGTAGGGTTCATGATTACAAGCTGTAATGCACTGCTAAGATAGTTGCTTCACGCTATCCTCTGACCGTTTCTCTCAAGACCTCTAAAGGACAACACAGTGTCGTTGAATCTCTTTTTGTTCTTTGGATATGGGATTGGTCAGCCCAGCCCTGGTGTTTGTTGGGGAGTAGGGTTTGTTTGGCTTCCGTCCCCAAAATTGTTACTCGAATATTTTAGGTGTTCTCTTCTTGCTTGGTGAGATCGTTTCTTTCTCTACCAGTTGTGATGTTATCCCTATTTCTATTTTGATTATTGGTTCGTGTTTCAGATATGGTTATTGCATGTATTAGTTTCATAGTTTTGAGTATCTGCGTGGATACTAGTCAGCTCCTGGAGTCAGAGCGCGTTAGAGTTTTCTGTATGCAAGTTATTTGTGTTAATGTCATAGTGAACCTGTCTTTTGCTCGCTTGATATATTACAACAGGTAGGAGAGTGTTTCAGGTCTTTCGTCAAAAATCTGTTTCGTTGTGTGTGATTATTCCTTCAAAACTCTTATTTGGTAAGGTTTATGGCAGAAAGTGCGTTACAAAGGTGAGGTTCTTAGTGTGTTTATTTCAGAGAAGAGGAGTTGAGTACGAGTGTGATGTGTGTTTGTGAGGGGTTGTGGAGGCTTTAGGTTTTGGTCTTGAGGATGTCTGTCGTGATTGTTTAGAGGAGTTGGAGTAGTTTTAGAAATAGTTTTTTAATGTAAGGTTTTTAGTAGGTTATTTTTATTGTTAGTCTGTTTTGCTGTGGCTTAGTATTTTTGGTCGACAAGCTATTTTCTGGTGGATTAATTTATTTCTCCGTTTCCTGTTTGGTGGGTGTGGTTGCCCAGTGGCATGTGTTGTGGTGGGTGGTGTTGTTCTTGTGCTTTGGTGATCTACCGAGTTTAAGTGTGTGTTGTTGTTGTAGTCGTCTTGTGTTTGCTTTGGCTATCTTTTTGTTCTTTGGTGTTGCTTATAGATGTTGTCCACTGTCCGTTCCTCTGTGTGTGTGATTATTGGTGGTGGACCGTGGTGTTCAGTTGCGGAGGAAGTAGGTGAACGTCTTCGTTTTGATGAGTTATGGGCTCACGATTTAGTTCCCCAGATAGTGCGTTATGGGGTAGCTGCGCATGTTTTCGTTGTCAGAGGAGTGACTCGTTTATTGCTTTGGAGGCAGCTACTAGGGCGCACGTGGGCTCTGAGGTGGATTTGTGTGATTCTCTAGAATACAAAGTGCTTGTTGTGCCGTGTGTGCCCATTGTTGGGCTGTCGAAATAGGGTGTTGATGATAGCATGGAGCGGCTGGATGTTGATTCCCAGACAATGTGTTATGGGGTAGTGGAACATGTTTTTATTTGTCAATGGGTGTTAGTGTGAGTTTTGTTGTGGTTTGGGGTATGTACTGTTTGTTGCACTGTGGTATCCTTATATATGTTCTCTTCCACCTCTTGGTTCACTCTTTTTCCTCCATTTAGGACAAGGGATGTTTTTTAACGAGGGCCTTGAGGTGGTGTACTTTGCATTTTTCTCTAATACGTGGGTTCTACTGTATTATTGGGCTACAATTTAGTTTACACAAACCAAGTTTAGCTTAGGCCAGAGGTTAGTTCCAGGTGGGGGCATGGCGCAATGAAGAAAACCAAAGATGTAAAGATATAACTGTTCATTTTTCATTAGAGTTAATTGCATCATATATCCCCAAACTATAATTCTCATTTTAAATCGGTCCTTAAAATTTTAAATATTTCAATTTCATCCCTAAATTATGACTCTCATCTAAATTAGTACTTAAACTTTTGATCATTCTAATTTCATCCCTAAACTATGACCCTCTTTCTAAATTAGTCTCCAAACTTTTGAATATTCCAATTTCATCTCCAAATTCATCCAAATATATAATTAGTTTCAACTATAATTTAACCTAATTTTTTTTCAAACAAATAATAATATAACTTGACCTAACGATTTTATTAACAGGGGACATGATTAATGTATACATATAATTTAGAATGAAATTGGAATGTTCAAAAAGTTTGGGGAATAATTTAGAATGAAGGTCATAGTTTAGGGATGAAATTAAAATGTTAAAAGTTTGAGGACTAGTTTAGAATAATAGTCATAGTTTAGGGATGAAATTAGAATATTTAAAAGTTTAGAAACCAATTTAAAATGAGGATCATACTTTGAAGACGTGTGATGCAATTAACTATTTTTATTATTTTTTTTGGGATTTAATATGGAAATTACCCCCAATGTCCCCTCCGAATTTTAATTGAATCCTGTTATATAATATATTTTCAATTCTGTCATTTTTTTATTAAAGAAAGGATTTAATTGCTACTATATTATATAATATATATAATATAAATATTATATATTGATTCAAATTCAAATTAATAATTAATTAAATTCATTTTTAATATTATTTTGGGATTTAATATGAAAATTACACCAGATGTCCTATGCAAATTTTAATTGAGTCCTCATTATATAATATAATTTTAATTATGTCATTTTTACTAAAAAAGGACAAGATTTATACTATTTTATTTATTTAATATTATATTATATAATGGACTTTAACTTAATTTTATAGAATTTATTTTCTTTCTGTAAGTTTAGCTGCCGTTTAGACATTAAATGTTAGTTCAAATTTGACGTTGAACATATTCAAAATACAAAGATCACATATTAAATACATATATATTCGACTCAAATTCTAATTGATAATTAAATTAAATTTTATTATAATTATAGTGGTAGAAGATTACTTGGTAATTTAGTTCATTTAATAAATAAATACTTATTGTAGGCCATAAAATTTTATGTAATTAAGTTTTTTTGGTGACCAAATATTTTAAATATGATATATGTCTCAACCTTTAGAATTGCGAAATAAAAGTATTTTGGAGATATGCTATCATTTTGTAGTCTATGCAACTTTTAGGGTTTATTTTGTAGAGATGAATTTTGTAGTGATATTGAGAGAGTGATTTATGATAGGGGTGAACATTCGATCGAGTCGAGACGACTCAAATAAATTCGAGTTATTCGAGTTGACGAGTCGTATTTTGTAACTCGAACTTAACTTAAAATTTTTTTCAAGTTGAGTCAAGTTTAAGAAATTCGAGTCGAGTTATTCGAATTTATATATAAATTTTATTATAATTATATAGTATTATTGTAAGGATTGATTCCAATTTTCCGATTTTCTCTAATTGTATAATATATATATATATATATATGTATTTATTCATATTTTTGACATTATATTATTAATTTAATATATCAAATACAAAATAAAATTACAAAATATGTTTATAATATTATATTTTAAAGAAGATGTTGAGGGTAAAGTAGTGATGAGAGCACAAAAGAGTCAATGAATTGATGAGAAGAAAGAATTTGTAAACAATTGCAACCAAAAGACCAAATTGAATAAAATGCAAAGTTAATGGATTAAATAAAGAGAGAGTATATTTTTAATAAAAAAAAGGAATTGAAGTTACATAGTTATTTTAGAGTGGTATAAGAGCATGTGGTTCAAATTTGATAAGAAATTGACTTAAAATGAAGGATGGATTGAATAAACAAGGAAATCATGAAAAGTTAAGGGACTGAATTGAAAAATTAAAAACTGTTATCAAAAAGAGAAATTGAAAGCACATGGGTATTCTAAGATGGTTTAGGAGCATGTGCTTAGAATTTGGTAAAAATTTGGCTTAAAATGAAGGAGGAATTGAAGGAATAAGAAAATCAAGGACTAAATCGCAAAACTATCAAAATAGTCAGCCGAATTTTTGATTTTTTGAGTAACTCGAAATTTTAAAATTTCAACTTGACTCGAACTCAAAATCCAAATTGATAATTCGAGTTGATTCGAATAATTCAAAATTGAAAAAATCTATTTTTTGAGTCGTGTCGAGATTTGCTCATCGCTAATTTATGGTAATGTAGGGTTTGATATATATATATATATAATATTTTAGGATACATGAGATATCATGTAATTGTATCCTTCGTGATCTCTTTATTTATAGTGAATTATTATTCTTCTCATATAGATGTAGATAAAGTTGAATTACGTTAAGTATCATATCTTGCTCATGCCGTATTTCATGTTGATTTTATTGTGTTTGTTTTTCACTATAAATTATGTTGATTTCGTTGTGTATGTTTTTCATTATAAATTCCTAACAATGAATCCGACATGTTAAAAAGTAGACTTTTTTTATTTTAATATTATATTGATATTACCCATATAGTAAGTACAAAAGTACTTAATATTGATATTTTAAGTGTTTAATTATTATGTTTTGAAGGTTAGAGGGTAATTTAAAATCTAAATCATAATGTAGGGGACATAAGATGAATTAACTCCAAAATTATATCAATGGCTTAGTATTAAAGAAAAATTGGGATAAAAGTTATGATTGAGGTTAAAGCAGGGATGGGTAGGTTGGCATTTCATGGCTCCCCAGACTCTTGAACCCAAAGTCAAGTTCTTGTCCAACCAATGACGCTTTTCTTCTTGGCCACTTCTCCACTTTTTTCTTTCTTTTCGATTAAAGTGGCGTGTATATGGTAGTATCTGCTAAAAATTCTCAATCATTTAATATTGAATCTACATATCTTAACATACATGATATTGGAACCTCAAAGAACAATAACAATTTCTTAATAATTGAGTTCACTTAGTTTGTGCACTTCTCCACTCTTCTTTTTTTTTCTTTTTGATTAAAGTTGTGTGAGTATAAAGTAGTATATGTTAGAAATATTCTTAATCATTTGACATTGGACGCACATACCCTTTGTATACATGGTCCTCGAACCTTTGACCTTAAAAAATAATAACAATTCTTTAACAACTTAGGTCACTTAGTTCGTGCTCTTCTTCATTTGTTTTGTTTTACTACTGTTTGCATGAAAATTATTGAACTTAAATGTATACTTTAACCTACTGGTGTAGCCTCCTATGTTGCTTGTTATGCCTGAGTGAATTAAGGCAAAGAAGCTCCATAATTGTAGACAGAGAATTGTACAATTGCCGACAGGACATCAACCCTTTTGAACACTTCACCCAAAAACAACACATTCGTGGGCTTTAATTCACCTAAATCATTACATCAAATAATTCGACAAGATACCAAATTCAAGCTGCAAGTAGATTATTTAAATTCATTAGAGGAGAGAGAATGATATAAAAAATATCTTGAGACAACTGTAATTTTGTGCTCGAGGACTAGAAAGAAAATGATTGACAAAATACATTTCAAATTACACAACTGCTTTTGGTCCCCACAATCCATCTTAAATTACTCCATTTCTCCATCATCCCTTTCCTTATCTTATATTTTCTCAGCCTCCATTTCAAAATTCTGTGCTAAGAGAGGAGATATTATAAACACATTTAGATTTTTTTTTGTTGTTGTGTGGAGCTGAAAACCATGGCATTTGCAGGAACAACCCAGAAATGCATGGCCTGTGACAAAACTGTCTATCTGGTTGACAAGTTAACTGCTGACAACAGGGTTTATCACAAGGCCTGTTTCAGGTGCCATCACTGCAAAGGTACTTTGAAGGTAAGTACTTAAAAGGTACATAATCTTTAGCAGATAAAACTCAATATTGACTTATACATCCAATTTGCAGCTTGGCAACTACAATTCCTTTGAAGGCGTTTTGTACTGCAGGCCTCATTTTGATCAACTTTTCAAAAGAACTGGCAGTCTTAACAAAAGCTTTGAAGGTAGGAAAATTCAGGGTTTTTTCATCTAGATTCCAATTAGTATTGCTTTTTAACAGATCTAGTCGATTTTCGATTTCAACTTCGTTTTTCTTTCTAGGTACACCAAAAATTGCAAAACCAGAAAAACCAGTCGATGGTGAGGTAAATTTCATTGAACTTACTATGCTTGTTTAATATATTTAAGTCTTCATATGTGAGTTAACATATTTACGATAAACCATGATTACGATATGAGCTACTTTGAACAGAAACCTGCTGCAACTAAAGTGTCGGGCATGTTTGCTGGAACCAAAGATAAATGTTTTGGCTGTAAAAATACTGTATATCCAACGGAGAGGGTAAGAATTTACAATAATTTGAATCTGTTATGGTAAAGTACTAGCTTTTGTCATTGTAGTACACAGCTTTAACCGTAAAAAATGTTTTTCTTCCCCAAAAGGTTACAGTGAATGGAACTCCTTACCACAAGAGTTGTTTCAAATGCACACATGGAGGATGCGTGATCAGCCCTTCAAATTATATTGCACATGAAGGCCGACTTTACTGCAAACACCACCATGGTCAACTCATCAAGGAAAAGGGGAACTTAAGCCAGCTTGAGGGTGAGCGCGAGGAGAAGAAAGTTAACGGGACTGAGGTTGCTGCTGAATCCTAATCTGTCATTAACGTTTGCTCCTTTCTTCTATATATCCCATGTTCTGTTTTCCCATGTTTCTACCCGGTTCACATGTCCTGTATTCTCGGTTCAAATGTTATTTTAAAACTAAAAGACATTAATTTGTTGATAATCTAATAGAAGTGTTTGGCTTTTGTTTGTTATATTTGAATGCTATTGTGCAGCATCTTGCAGACAAATGAGATGCCCAGACCAACATGAGTCTCAGTAATACACGTTGTCAATGCTTGCTATCATTACTATTATAATCTTAAGCGCTTAAAAACAAGTTTTCAAACGATTGTATGGGACTTGGGCAATCTTGCAGTTGTAAATTTTCATTAGATGTTTGCATGAAAAAGAAGGGTAAAAGCTGGATAAAGAGTCCTATTGAGGGAACCGGGGTAAGGAAACATAATTTGTAACACCTCTAACCTAGCTTAGTTGTAAACCGGGCTAGAAATACACATTGATTTATCAAAACTAAATCGGACAAATAGACTTTCAAATAACCTGTTGGGATTACAAAGACGAAGAGGCTCAAATTGACATTTGAAAAAGTGAAAAGGGGGTAATTGACAATAATTTTGATAAGGGAGTAAGGAGAGTAAAAGATATAAAGATAATGCACAAAGATTTAGAGTGGTTCGACTTATCAACCAAGTCTACATCCACTACCTTAGCTCCTCAATAAGGATTTTCTAACAAATTCACTAATTTGTTCTTTCTTTTTCAAGGATAAAGAGATAACCTTTACAACTCCCTATCTTTTCAATTGGCTAAGATAGAACCAATAACCCTTTTACAAGGAAAATAAATGTAAAAAAGAAAATCTCTAAAAAGAATTAGTACCATTTTTGCATTCTGGAATTTGAGCAATGCTGGTAGTATCAGTACTACCTAGTGAGTATCGATACTTCCCTTACCTTTGGTATCGGTACCATATGAACAATATCGGTACTTGTTCAATTAGTATCGATACTGTAAGAACAATATCGATACTGTAAGAACAATATCGATACTACTTGTTCAGAAAACGTTTTGTGCTCAATTCCAAGTATTAAGGTTTTTTTTTTGAAAAATTTGAAAAACTTTGAATAAATTCAATTCAAGTCCAAAAATATTTTGCCTTAAATTGTTATATCAAAATATAGTTCAACTGATGGACTAAATTAACATCTACATCAAATATAAATAACTCATGACAATACACAACATCAAAAGAAGTCAAATTAGCAAATTTTCATATAAAAATAAATAAAGATATGCCTCTTCAAGAGACAAGCTATTCATTTGCTCAACCTATAATAAGAGTTTCAAAATATATTTATAAAATCTAAGCAAAGTGTGCTCCTAGTGAGTCTAGAATTCATGACCTAAGAAAATATGAGTGCTCCTAGTGAATCTAGAACTCATGACATAAGAAAATATGAGAGAATAAATATGAGCAGCTTGACCACCTGACCTAATATACTTGCTCATGAATCCAAATATATATTATATATATATATAAAGTATAGTGCTACCAAAATATATAAAATACCATAAAAGTAATATCCAGAAAAATTCAATTACATAATAAATTAATCTCCAATATATATATATATTGTTTTAAAAAGTGTTATGACATTCAAGTATTAGAACAATCTTAATAGCAAAAAAATAATAATAACAATAATAACGGAGAAAATTAAGGAGGTTAAAATATAGAGTTTAGTATGTCCTCTAAGTACAGTTCAAACACTATAGAATAAAGTTTAACATAAAACAATAATCGGTAGTTCTAACGTGGCATATTCGCAAAACATTAAACATGATATGGATGCAATGCAAACTACTATCCCATATATATCGTCAAACGATTATTCGATATTGAACATTATCATCTGACAAAAATGAACCAATTGGTTTATTCAATATTTGAAATTATCATTCGAAAAGGATGAACTAGTCGGTGTTAGTATTGTACATTACCATCTGATAAGGATGAATCAACCGCTTATTCGATTATTTTTTCATTTCATAAACCTAACCTAATACAACATACAATACAATGTTAATGAATCATAATCAATATTAATTTGTCTGAATTTACTAACTAATGACTAAATTAAAGAAAAATATGATTAAAGAAAACAAGCTTAAAAATATTCGGTTGAAACTTGAGAAATCAACAGAGAATATAAGAGAAATTATAAAGATTTTTTTTAAAAAAAAAACTTAGACAAACTAAGGTGGTGTTTGGTTGGTATGAATCTCTTGGAATTAGGGGAAATTGGAATCCAATTCCACCACTTTCCCATGTTTGGTTCAAGTTTTCCAAGAAAATTGGAATCCCTCATGGCTTCAACTTTCCATCAAATGAGGGAAAGTGAATTCCATCCAAGAATGAATTGAATTCAATTCCCTTGTTGGAGGGAATTGAAATTTGACCATACTACTCTCATCAATTTTTTGGTAACTTATTCATATATTGAATAAAAATATTTTTTATTATTTCGGGTCGAGTTTCTAATTCATATATTCGGGTCGGGTCAGGTGAAACTTTATTTTGGTCGGGTCGGGTCGGTTTTTTAAGTGTGATATTTGGGTCGGGTCGAGTTCGGGTTTAGGGTGAAAAATACCCATCCCGAAAATATATATAATTTTACCATATATATTTAGAAATAATTATAATAATATCCCTCTATATATAATTTTTTTCAATTAAGTTACTGTTTTTATTGAATAAAAATATTTTTTTTATTATTTCGGATCGGGTCGGGTCGGATTTCTAATTCATATATTCGGGTCGGGTCGGGTGAAACTTTATTTTTTTCGGGTCAAGTCGGGTTTTTTAAGTGTGATATTCGGGTCGAGCCGGGTCAGGTTTTTTTAAGTGTGATATTTGGGTCGAGTTCGGGTTTAGGGTGAAAAAACCGGACCTGACTTGAAAAAAAAATAATTTTACCTTATATATTTAGGAATAATTACAATAATACCCCTCTATATATAACTTTTTTTTTCAATTAAGTCAATATTTTTATTGAATAAAAATGATTTTTATAATTTATTGAAATGAATAATCAATCAATAAAATAAAAAATTAATAATTTTTAATTTTTTATAATATATTACTACATGTAAGTTGTAAAACAATTAAAATAAAGCAAAAAAATAAGAAGGGCAATTCTGTCATTTTACATTACTGAAATCAAATCCATCTGACATAACTGCGAACAATGTTTTTATTGAATAAAAATGATTTTTATAATTTATTGAAATGAATAATCAATCAATAAAATAAAAAATTAATATTTTTTAATTTTTTATAATATATTACTACATGTAAGTTGTAAAACAAACTAAAATAAAGCAAAAAAATAAGAAGGACAATTCTGTCATTTTACATTACTGAAATCAAATTCATCTGACATGACCAAACATAATATGAAATTGGATTCCAATTCCATTTCCTGCCAACCAAACAAAATATGAAATTGAATTCAAATTCCTGACAGATTTCAATTTCTTCACAGATTCCAATTCCCTCATAAACATTCACAGATTCTAATTCCCTCATAAACATTCCAGCGAACCAAAAACCTCATAAACATTCACAGATTCTAATTCCCTCATAAACATTCCAGCGAACCAAAAACCACCTAAGTGTTAAGAAGTTTAGAAATTAAGATAAAAAGTTGCGAGAACGTCTTAAGAAGAGATGACAATAATTTGACCAAATTATAAATTAGAGTTTTTTTTAATTATATATTTTCTTTTAGTTTAAAAGTTTTTATTAATTAATTCTATTAAATTTTAATTTTACTAAAACTCATTTAATTAAAAATATTCGCTTCTATTTGATGATGACGGACTCTATTTGATAATGCACAATTGTTGAGACTTTTTCCCCTTCCTTTTTCCCTACTTAATGACTTTGCTTGAAAACATGACAAATGCCATAGGATCTGGTTGTTTCTTCCCTCCATCCCATCTTAAAAACCATACATGTTATAGCGGATTTCTTTGTTTTCTCATTTATAATACGAGGCTGTCATATTCAGACAACTTCACATGAAATGGCCCACCAAAGACTGAACAAGATGGTTAAAATTTTGAGGATGAATGATTAGAGCTTATCATAGTATTCTAACATCAATCTTGTACTTGCTTCTGGTAGGATCATACGCGTAATGTAAAAAGTTGAATAAATAATAAACTTAAGACCGAACTGGAAATTGCCGCCGGGCAATTAAGAAACATATTCCTTACTTATGACAAATATAGAGGATGAAGAAGTAAAATGGAGTAGAAGTTCGTCATATTGATATATATATAAAAGCAGAAGATTTACTGACAAAAGGCTACTGCACTATTTGCACTATTATATATATATATATATATATATATATATATATGTAACATCTATTGTATAGATAGAATACACTTGCTAGTTGCTAGTTAAGGTTGCATTTTGCAGTAGAACGTTTTGTACATTTTCTAATTTCAAAGATTGGAGTTAGACTGAGATGCTTCCCTATTGTGGGTATGAAACCTCCATGTGAAGAGATAATCCTTTGACTGACATGATAATTTGACGACATCACAGAAACTAGTGATCGAACCTTTGTTGTTGTTCCCTTCGTTTCCCCACTCGATCCTCACCCAGCAAGAGAATCCCTTTGAATTAATTGGAACCCTTGAATCAGATAGATTAAGGGTCACTTCCCCACAGATTCTGTTGGATGAGTTGCTTATGGATCTTCTTTCGGTGCCTTTTACCATGGAATCAAGCCAGGGACATTCTGGTTGACCCAACAGCTCTTTGTAAGAGGAATTTGCTAGCCTGACTTTATTATTTGAATCAGATATGAGTGCTGGTAAGGCCTCGGCCTCAATATCATCTTCAATCTCCTCTGGTTTCTTTGGGACTTGCATTGGTGGTGGGTTCATTCTAGGTTCCTCATTGATGCACCCAACAAAGATGCTTGAGCCTACCGGTCGAATTGGCTGAGGAGCTATAAGACTTCTGATGGGTGGACTTTGGAACAATTTCAAGAAATCCTTCTCTTCTGGGATTTCAGCCACTTCGTTCAAATCTGTCACTTTTTCTCTTCCAAAATGTTCCATGCAACATGGAAGAAGAGGAAGTGTGACCAAACTTGTTGATGGTGTAGAAGAAAACTGAGGTATCTCAATCTCATGAGAGAAACCTTGCAAAGAGAGAGTAGGTGAAGGAAGCCCTAGGATATGGGTCCTTGCTCTCTTGAGTGTTGTTGGTGATAAAGTAGCTCTACCTCTCTTTCTACTTCTAGTAGGCCTAGACTGAAGCTGAGGCCACAAATTCCTCAGATTAGGTGACTGATTCATCTTCTGAGATAAAGCCGAGTTCTTATCTACGGAGTTTGCAGGCATCTCAGGCTTGGGAGCTATAGGCCGGTACCTGGACATAATTTCAGCTGTTTTAGCTGTTGTCGAGTAAGGATTCAGCGTCTTAATCATGGTGCCTTGTTCCTCTCAACTCTCAACACTCAAGAAGAAGAAGAAGAAGAAGAAGAGTTGGGATTATAGTTTAAAATATGGAAATGTTGATAGGCTTTTTGTAGGGGGTGATTTGAAAGAGTATGGAAATCAGTCGATGAGTTTAAAGCAAACATTGACACAAAGAGGCAGGAGATGTTGATGTTTGGATATTGCATGATGGGGTACGTGTTTGAGGGGCTTAGACGATACAGACATGTGGGATTATGCAGCAACAAATGGGTCCATGCATGCTAACACATCACAGTTCAATTAGCAAAAGCAAGCCTTTTGAATTCGATAAACCAACACTCAAACTTAGAACCGCTCTTGCACCAATCAAAGACGCCTCCCTGTGGACTGTTACGCGTGTCGAGTTGGTGGTCATGCGTTGCTACACCTATCAGGGTCCGGTCTGGTTTGGTGGTGCTATTGTCTTCGGGCCTTCAATGTAGCGACACAACAGCAACTTTTGGGGCTTTGAGATTTTCTGTCGGTTTAATTTTTGACGGTGGTGACTCCACGTGGAATCAGCTTAGTCTCCGACTGCATGCAAAGGGATGAGTTAGAATGTGATTGGAGGAGTGAAGGGAGGTTAAACTTTGATTTTCATCATTGAAGAAAATTGAAAGCCAGAAGGGTTGCACTTACAGGTGGCTGATAGTGTGAAGAGAATTCATAAAACGTGGTCTCTGCGTTGTAAAGTGTGCTATCTTTGTGGGTTATTTTTCCCAGTTAGCGGTGCTCTCCACTGTTGCCACGTTAGAACAGATTCCTTGAGAAGTCCGGTTCTGGAGCTGTGCGTTTCATGTTTCACTCGACCTGTTTGTTGCCGACAGCTTTTCTTGGATATTCAAGAAGGTTTGATATAAAAAAAATGTCTAAATTTTTAAAATTACCAATTACACGTGTTATTTAATGAGAATTTTTAATCATCCTTGTGATTGAGATATCTAGAGTGGTAATGATTATATCCTTAAATATCTAGATTGATAGAAAAAAATATAAACATCATTTTATAAAAATTGATATAATCGATATTTTTTTTATATTAAGCCATTTAAGAAACAGATTAGGATTTTTTTAAAGATTTTCTAAATCTCTAAGTCTGAATTTGGGGATGTAGCTTAATCTCCTTTGCTACACAAAAATGCATAAATGCAGTTGAAGAGATTTCGATTATCTCTCTATTCTGATAATTAAAAAAATCAATTAAACCAATTACAATTTTTTTAATTTAACTTATTTTTATTTCAAATTTAACGTAAAATATGAAAATTGTAGTAAACAAATTATACGTAATATCAAAAAATATCTCTAACGTTTGATTAAATAGTCACTTTAGTCTCTATCTTAGTTTTGAGAGTATTTTGATCTTAACATTTCATTTTTGGACAAAAAGATCTATTTATGGATAAAAATATTTAGTAAACAAATAATTAATGCTCAAAATATATACCTTTTACCCTAAAATTAAACGTTAATGTCTAAAATACTCAAAAAAAAAAGAATAAGAGCTAAAGTGACTATTCATCAAATATTAGGAGCCTTTTTTACTTTAAAATAAAATATTAGAGTCAGAATGCTCCAAAAAAAATATGAGTCAAAACGATCATTTTAAAAAATATTAACGGACTAATCTTGACATTATGCCAACAAATTACTCGATATAGGTGTGGGATGTTTATTAGAACACTGACTCCAAATCTCAGCGTTGATCTTTTTATTCTATTTTATTTTTTCTAACCATTAGGCCAATCATATTGTTACACGCTCCGCTAACAAAATTTATTTTAGGGATTAAAACGAAATAATTTTAGTGATAATTTGTGAGATATTGAATTTGGGTGACCAAAATAAAATATTTTGAGAATCGAGTGCTAACTATGTAGTTTACCCTAACTTATGTTATATAATATAATTTATAAAAATATTATTACTATAAATCTAAATATCTATCTTAACTTAACCATTTTATATTTGTTTACGAAAATTTAAATAATAAAAAAATAAAAAAGTTAGTTAATATCAACTTACACAATGTAAAACTCTTTAGTTTTATATAGATTTAGGACTATTGATGAGTGAAAATAGATAGCTGGAATTGATTTTTTTTTTAGTGAATATCTTTTCATTTTTTATTGTTAATCTCAACCATCTATTTTCACTCATCCAACGATCCTAAATTTGTGTAAAACTAAAAGAATTTTACATTGTGTAACAAGATCTAATCCCTATATATAGGGTTAAGATCCACTCACACAATGTAAAACTCTTTAGTTTTACACAAATTTAGGACCGTTGGATGAGTGAAAATAGATGGTTGAGATTGACTCTTTGTTTTTTTCTAGTGAATATCTTCTCATTTCTTACTGTTAATCTCAATCATCTATTTTGACTCATCCAATGATCCTAAATTTGTGTAAAACTAAAAGATTTTATATTGTGTAACAGGATTCCTATATATATGGTTAATATTCACTTACATAATGTAAAACCGTTTAGTTTTACATAAATTTAGGACCATTGGAGGAGTAAAAATAGATGGCTAAGATTGACTCATTTTTTGTTCTCCAGTAAATATCTTCTTATTTCTTACTGTTGATCGCAACCATCTATTTTCACTCATCCAACGATCCTAAATCTGTGTAACACTAAAAGAATTTTAAATTTTGTAATAGGATCTCATCCCTATATATTTAAAAGTAAATTAGGTACATATTTATATATAATGTGCAACACAGATGTAGGATCGTTGGACGAGTGAAAATATATGGCTGAAATTAAAAGTAGGAAATGATAAGGTATTTACTGGAAAAAATAATGAGTTAATCTTAACAATTATTTTTCACTCATACAACGTTATTAAATCTGTGCAAAATTAAAAGAGTTTTACACAATATAAGTGGATCCTAACCTTTATATATATAAAGGTTAGGATCCACTTATACTGTGTAAAACTCTTTTGATTTTTCTCAACATTGTGTAACACGATCCTATCCCTATTTTAACAAATAAATTAGTGAGACATTATCTAGGGAAAATTTTTCATAGAAATATATATGTGTGTGAAAAAATGGAAAAATGGCACAAATAATGTGGTTAGGAAGTTTTTTCCCAGAGTAATGTGGTTCCCCGATTAATTCCCCTATCTAGGGTTTTTCTACAATACAAGGCCAAAGGCTCTAGGAAATCTCGACGTCTTCAGGTAAAAATAAAGGATCCAGGATTTGCAGAAAACCTCGTGATTACTCGGCGTCTTCAGTGTAGGGTGGTAGGTTACCTCAGACTGGGAAACATGTAAGTAATAATGGAAATATTAATTATTCATTAATAACCGGCTAGGTTAGTGGTTGGTGGTTGAATGGAAAATTGTAATAAATATCCAAGATGTTATAAAATGTGGCATTTTGGTTGAGAATTGGGGAGTAAAGTAGTGGTGAGGAAAGGAGAGAAGAGGCAAAATCTGGAGAAAAATTGAAAGAGTAAGCATCCGAGAAAAATAGTAGAGAAAATTTTGAACGAAATTTTCTTCCAATCTATAATTTGTAAGTATTATTCGAATGAAATTTTATTCGCATTTGAATAAAATATCTCTATTTCGGAAAGGTTATTAAAATATTATTTTTAATATGTTGTTGCAGGTAAAAAAGAAGTGAGTAAGAAATTCAAAAAGTTTTTTTTATAACATCAACTTATCGGATTAAACTCTCAAGTAAGTGTAAAAATATATTATTTAAAGTATTTTACGATTTATTGTTAGTTACATATTGACTTAGTAAATATCAGTTTACGATTTATTGTTATGTAAATATCATTATTATAATTTTAACATTATTGATTTAGTATTTGTAGAAGAAATGTTAAGATAATTAGATGAACATATTTGATTTAGTATTTGTAGTAGAAAAATAATATTTATTATAATGACGAAAAATAATATTTATTATAATGACAAAAAATAATGGCACCATTAATTATCAATTAATAAACCGGGTATGTTGGTGGTTGAACGGGAAATATAATGAATTAAGGAGTAATAAATTCAAAGTAATAATAAGTAGTTATAAAAAATCCGAAGTAATAAATTTAATCATTATTATAATGTAATCATAGTATTTAATCTGAACATATTTGATTTAGTATTTGTAGTAATTTTTTTTATTATAATGACGAAAAATAATATTTATTATAATGAAAAAAATATTGATACCATTAATAAACCTAGTAAGTTGGTGGTTATTAATTATCCATTAATAACCCGAGTATGTTGTGGTTATTAATTATCCATTAATAACCTGGGTAGGTTGGTGGTTGGTTGTTGAACGGGAAAGTATAATGAATTTGGAAGTAATAAATTCGAAGTAATTATAAGTAGTTATAAAAAATAAAAAGTAATAAATTTAATAATTATTATAATGTAATCATAGTATTTAAGCATTAGTTTTATAAAAACTATTGTTAATATATTTACATTTATAATAAAAAATATTGGTAATATATTTATATTTTATTAAAAAATTTAATAATATTTATTATAATTTTGTAAATAATTTATTTTTATTATAATAGTAAATGTAATTTATCACCATTACTATAATTTATTCTAATTTATTCTGAATATCTATATTTTTACGTGTAGAGAAAATGAGCAACAATTTTTTCACGATTGTCCATTACAATGGACAAATTATGGAAAATGAGATTGGAGTTATTCTTCAGTCTAAAGCACCTATAAATATGATGTTTAAAAGGGACATCACATTTATAGAAATGAATGAGAGGATAGAAAGGAAAATTCAAGCTACAGTTGATGGTTTGAGGTACATGTTTATGGTATGTCATGATCCAGTTAAATATGCTGCAATATCACTTCAAGAAGATGATGCTATTATAACTATGATTGAATTAAATGACTAAACAAATATTTAAATTATTGAGTTATTTGTTGAGGTGCGTAATATAACTGATGTGCCTAGGTT